CACCAACCAAAGGGGGTTTCTTCTCCTTCCTCTCCTCCCTAATTTAGGTCCACGATTTGAGTATAAATCAAGAGTTTCATCGCCTTCATTGGTCAAGCTTGTTTATTCGGCCGCTTTGCCTTACAAACTCCAGCGTTTAACACCTCATTATTCTTTATGAGTTACTACCACTCCTTGGGATTACATTTATCTTGAGAGGTGATTCTCCGAGAGACATTATCTTCATCGGAGTTTAGCTGCGGCATTCAAAGGCGACCCTTCGATTTGAATTTGAGCTTTTCAATACAGAGCTCCGCTCATACCAAATTCGAAGTTAACAATAACTCGACAACTTCGTTCATGGGGTCACCGGAGGTGTAATCATCTCTACCATCACTTCTCCCCACAGCCAAACTTTTTATTTTTGCTTTTTTGAGCCAAGAAGTGAGCAATTTTTAATTTCTTAAATATCAATAAAGTTGTTAATTTTTTGACCCAAAAACATGGCCCACTCTGCAAAGACAATGCATCATGAGTCTTTTTTCTTAGGATTCAAGGTTGGGTGTTAAAGAGGGTGTTTGAAAAGGCTTATTTTTTAAGCTTATAAGTTAGTTGGCTTTTAATGATTTTTGGCTTTTTGATAAAAATACTATAAAAATTGTTTGAGTAGAATAGAAATTTGCTTGGTCAAACATAACTTTTTAAAGTGAGCTTATAAGCTAGTTTTTTAAAAACTAGGATATATCAGTTTTTTAAAACGGGACTTTTATAAGCTAACTTATTTGGCATTTTATCAAAAAGACAGAAATAAAAAAGCTATCTTAAAAGCTAGTTTGATTGAAAAATAAACCTCCTCAAACACCCTCTAAATCAAGTAGGACTTGATTTTGTTTTCATGACTAAGAGGGTGTTTGGCAACTCCTCCACTATCCAAGTTAGTTGAGCTAATCTACTTAAAAGGTTGAGTTGTTAAAATTGGGCTAACTCCAAACTTGATTTACTTAGTTCAAATATAGGCCCCTAGTCGGATTAGGATTGAACCAACCCCCTACATTACGTGTAACTAACCTGGTCAAAGTCTTAACGTGATTAGTGGGGAGTAACCAAACACACTCTTAAGAGATGTACCTCACGATATGGGCTTCACTATACTAGCATCCGACCGTGTCTGGTGAATTCCATGGCTGTCCTTTACTAGCCTGCACCCTGATGAATCCTTCATCCTAGCTGGCAAGTTCGGTCGGCTCAGTTGAAACCAACTGAAATTTTCGTAAACCAAAACTGAACCGTGTAGAGTATGAAACCGAACCGAACCACTTAAAATATGTCGGTTTGGTCAGAATGAGCGCTTTTAGCTGAGGTTTGCTCAACCATAATTTGGTTATAGTTGATGTTGGGTCAAGAGTACTACCTAACCATGGTTGTTTTCTTCAACTGATAAACTAACAGAGAGATCGTTTTGCAAGTCCATTTAAGGGACTAATATCTAATTTCCATGATTTAAGGAACTAATATGGAATTATTGAAAATTTAAGGGACTAACATCTAAAAACCCTAGAAAATAACGCTGCAGGTTTAGCATGCTGAGCCACGTTTTAAGCCTAATCATTATACTACTACATCATGAAATTTGCGAAGATAAACAAACTTGGAGGAATCATGAAATTTCCACATTTCTTAGGTTAGGTTTTAGGTAATTTCTGGTTTGTTTATGGAATAATGGTAATTTTGAAAGAATGGACATTTTAATTTCTTCTATCGTTAATTTTTTTTCAAAAATAAATATCTATACCAGCATATCTATACTGTTATCACTATCTTTTACTATTATAAAAGTGTGTTGCCTGTTGAAACATTTCCTTCTAAAATGCCCTTCAAAATATATACACGCACAGGCGAGGGTGGACAGTGGTGAGCATGAAGACGGTGAGCAGGCGAGTTCAGGAGCAGAGCTCAAGGACTGAGCAGAGGGCGGCTCGAGCTCAGGTGGCCAGCGGGAGGAGAAGAGTTCAGGGCGGTGCTTTGGTCGGAGGTAGCGGCGATTCAGAAGTTGGGCGACGGGGAACAGGCAGAGGAGAGGAAGGGCGGGAGAGAGCGAGAGAATGAGGAAGAGAGAGAGAGAGAGGAAGCTCAGTGTGAGTTTCTTGGGTTGAGAGAGAGAGAACGAGATGATGGAGGGGCTGAGCTCGTTGTGGCTCTTGAGGAAGAAGAGAGAGAACGAAAGAGAGAGGTGAGGGTTGATGTCTGGCGGCGTGAAAAGAGAGGAGGGTGTCGGCGGATGGGTGCGGGGCCAAAGAAGTGGGGCGCGTGGGAAACGAGGTGGGAGAATGCATGAATTAGGGATGATTTAGGGAGTAGGGTAGGGGAGAGAGAAAATGAGAGAGAGATGTTCCATAAGTGGGAGAGAAAAACACAGGGAAAATACCCCCTTTTAAAATAATATAAATAATAATAATAACAATAATGACTAACCGAACATTAGTTTAAAAGTCTTTACCGTAACAACTAAATCTATAATTAGCAATACCATTAAAATAATATAAAAATCGTATTTTTAAACCATAAAATCCTAGAAAATTAGGGAAAAATACAAATACTCTTTTGAAAAATAATATTTAATATTTAAATACTAGAAAATTTTATTTAAAGCAGTATCGAAAATCACTGTCCTTACAAGCATATTGTCTGTCCGACTTCTGAAAATTTGAGTTTCCATACCATGTAAAGAAATTGGTCTTTACAGTGTACACACACTCAATTAACTTAGCTTGTGTATCAGCTCTTGTTACATTAGTTGAGTACTGCATTTACCTTAGATCTCAGTGAGACCACTTGCCTGTGGAGATTTAAAAGCAACTCTAGCTAAAAATAGTATACGTGTGTTATAAATTATAATTTCTAATTTTCAGTAACGAGGCCCTATCTATTTGGTTCTTAATTCTTTTGATGAGCACTGAGATCATGCTATCCAACTGTCCGAATTTTTTATGCATATGAGTCGCTTCTTTCCTTTTTTATGCCTCTGCTAGTACCCGAGTAACATAGAGTGAAAGTTATCTTTAATATATGCAAGTTATTAACGAGCGACTGTTGTTTTCCTCTAATCACTTCTTAATTATGAGTTATATTAATACCTCATGATTTATATAATATTTACATATTTTCTATTTTATTGAATAAGATGAACATGTTTAAACTTTTTGGCTTTTAATAGTAACCATATATTCGAAGCAAAGTCATGATCATGCTTAGCTTATTCCTAAATTCCTGTTTTTATAAGTCGTTATTGATAAATCATTTTATTTAGGTTAGCATGGCCCGTAACTACATCAGAGATAAGAATTGGATGTACGTGTGTCGTGCAGAATGCATGGTGTTGTTAGTGATATGGTCCGACATGGGAGACTCATTTGTCCATGTAAATTATGTGTAAATAAGTTGCATCAATTGGAGTAAGAAGTAGAACTTCATGTTGTGATGAATGGTTTTGTTAGCGATTACATAACTTGGGTATATCATGGAGAAATTGAAGGTATCAGTGATGCAAATGAAGAAGAACAAGAAGAAGACAACTTGTTTCTCGATGAGGAAATGGATGAAATGGTTGAGGTAGCTCTTGGTAACACTACCCTGTTGAAGATCTTCCTTCCAGAGGAGGACATCGTGAAAACAATTATGATAAATACATGAATGATGCTAGAAGGCCAATTTATGAGAATACAAAACACTTCACACTGTCATAGTTTTCCATCTATTCTAGATTAAATGTCTAAATAAATAGAGCAACAAGTCATTTACGATGCTCCTCAAGTTTCTTAAAGATTCTATGCCTCCGAGGAACCATGTGCCTGAGAGCTGGTACAAAAGACAATGTCTAATCTGGGTCTAAACTGTGAGATGATTCATGTATGTCCGAATCATTGTATACTTTATTGGAAAGAAAATTCAGATAAGATAGAGTGTCCTACTTGCGGAGAGGCTCTATAAGAAGAAAGTACATGGTCAGATGAAAGATATACCTATCAAGATAGTATGATACTTTCCCATAACACAGAGTCTATTCAAGTGTAAGAAGACAGCAGTGTCAATGACCTGGCATCATCGTGCTCGTCCAAGTGAAAATGGATGAATGAGTCAACCTAAGGATACGCCTGGATGGAAGGATTTTGACAGTAGGCACCCAATACTTAGCCAAGAACCTTGCAATATCAGGTCGCACTGGCTAGTGATGTCTTTTGCCCCTTTAGATTTAAGGGCAATCCCTACAGCATATGGCCTGTTGTGATGATGGTTTATAACCTCTCACCGTGGTTGGCTATGGACCAATCCTATTTTATGATACCTCTTCTTATTGATGGTCCTAAGTCACCGGGAAAAATATTAACATTTATCTTCGACCTCTTATTGAAGATTTGAGGTGATCTTTATTTATCGAAGGTGTGGAGACATATGATGCGGATACGGGGACAACCTTCACCATGCGTGCAGCCTTAATGTGAACAATCAACGACTTTCTTGCATATGAAATGCTATCCGATTGGTCCGTACATGGTTACACTGCATCTCCTTATTGTCACCTCCAAACAACATCAAGAAGGCTGCCCTTTAGCAATAATACTTATTATTGCGACCATCGGTGTATGTTGCATGAAAATCATCCCTACAGAGAAGATGTCATGCCCCGCATCCCAAAATACAGGGGAATCTGAATGTGAATAAGCCCATGACGTATTAGACTGAGGAGAAATATACTAGACCATCTACTCAATCTAATACGTTAAGCGTCAAGCAATATAAAGTGAATGCCCAAGTCCCCGATCACAGTAGTGAGAATATAATAAACAACTCAGAATAAAATAATACATATCACAACTAAAATATCATCCCAAACATAATATTTGGGCCAAACATGCCCTGATACAAAACATTACAACTGAAATACTGGAGGAACATAAAAATACATCAATCAAACGAGAATAGAAAGTGCTACAAAAGTAAACAAGAACCATCAACAACTAAAAGGAAAAACTAAGCTTCGTCTTCTTCTTCTGCTCTATCTGCAAAGCACTCCTGCTGAGAATACTTTGGCTATGGCTAAACCTGACCGTTCTTTAAATCTGATGTACAACCCGAGAGAACAGGAGTACGTCAGCGTGCATAGCACACGGTAAGATCCCAAAAGAAAGAATAGAAATGGTCTAACGACCAAATACAATAACAGTAATAATAATAAATAGAAATATGCACCTGGAATACTAACAAGTTAAATGCAATCCACCACTAGAGTATAACAATCAGAAGAAACCATAAACATCCGAGTAACAAGGTCATACAACTAGATGTAATTAATACTTAAAAATCTACAACACGAGACGTAGTACGTCGAACGAAATAATCCAAATAAGGAAACCCTTATGTATATACCATATGTCTCAAATTGTAGATAATTAAATATTAATCTCGATCTATGTATGAAAAAAATATAACTGGTCCATATCTCACAAGAATGCATAATCATCTAAGTAACGAGGTCATGTAACTAACCATCCTATAATAGGTTACTGGTCCATATCTCACATAAAGTCAATGTTCATATTATCAGATAAATAACTATTCACAAATCCTCTATGTGCATCAAATACCGCTACATGAATCGGTCAGAGGACTACACAATCCAATTTCGGCCTAGTCCGAACTCAAGCAGAACTCGGGTGACTACACAAATTCACTGACCAAAGTGACTACACGAATTCACTTTAGCCTAACAAACCAACCCCACTGACTACACGAATTCACTGGGACGAGCCTGGAAGATACATCAACAGCCACATCCGATCACATGAACTAAGACTTCCCCATCCCAACTCTTCTTGCTTATCTAAGTCAACAATCATAACCTGAACTAGATCTCTGGTCCATCTTCTAAACTCAGTCAACGCACACACACAAGTCACTAAGTCTTGTTCATGACACACAAAGTCACTAAGTCATGAACTACTAGTGGTTATCAACACAATAAGGAATAATAAATGCAGCGTATTCTATGCAAATAAAACATAGTATGTGTAGGCTGTCTAAAAATTACAATAGATAGCTGATCCTCATCAAGCTTCGATGATGAAAGTTACAATTTAACGACTTCTACATCAACATCTTGACAATGAAAGTTACAATTAGACGACTTTCACATCAACAAACGAAAACTACAATTAAAGGATTTTCACGTAGATCGAGAAAGGTTATAATTCAACGAACTTCATGACGACTGATTAAAGCTCTGATTCAATAGCCTTCACAATCAACTATGAGAGTTACAATCTGACAACTCTCGCATCTCAAATAGCTAAAGCGAAGATTACAGAACAATGGTCTTTGTAATGCTCTACAGAAGAGATTACAAGTTAATAATTTTTTCTAAACGCAGGGCTCACCTCTGCGTTCTAACTTTGAAACACAGGCGGCCCCTGCATTTTCAATATTTGGCATATGTCTAACTGTGCGTCTCAAGTCTAAGATGCAGAGTTAAAGCCCAGAACGCCCACTTTGGCATTTGACTCATTCAAACACGAGTTGAACGGTTTCAAAACTATTTTATCCTATGATTAGAGGGATTCTCACCCACTTAGGAGCGGATTAAGGGGTCAGTTATACCCCTTAATCACCTTATAAATTTAAACAAACTCAACAGAGTTCGGGGCTGACTTTTTTGGGGATAAAATCAACAAGAGATCGGCTAGAGAGAACTTCTTGGCAACAAAGAGATCTTGGAGCATCCTTCAGCAACTGAAATTTTGAAGCCTTTGTACTTGGATAATTAACCGAATTTTTGGTTCGAAAGATAACTCTTTTCACAGAGTTTAAACTCGTTTGGTTCATAAACTCTTAAGAGTTCTTTACACACTTGCCACACAAGTTTACATTAATCGTTCCAGTGAAGTTAGACATCAGATCGTCAATGAGAAGCAAACTTGATACAAATGTCGAGGGAGGCATCTCATCGCTATCGTGAATAACCCAGTTTTAAACAAAGGGGAAGATCTCTGTCAATCTTCTTCTCTTTTGTGAATCAGAATTCCGATTAAGGAGAGTGTAATTTCTTTTTCTAAAGTCAGTTAGAGAGAAACTGTATTAAGAGAATTGTATTTATTCTTTATCTAAGCCAGTTAGAAAGATAATACAACAAATCATATTCTCAATTTTCTTCTTCTAATTTTCCCATAAACAAAAGATGGCAACTCTGCTGGGGACTAGCTTTTTCACTAATGAAAAAGTGGTGGTACAATCCGATACCAAGCTCGTTGTAACAATTGTTAAAACTCTGATCATCGAGTTCGATCAAGCTAAGTATGAGGAAGCCCTTTCTTACGGATCCCTTAGCCCCAAGGCTATGCGCAAGATCCGTAAAGTCTCCAAGGAGACTAAAGCTCCAACTGTTACTCCTATGCCGAAGAAAGCTCTCTCCTTTAGCCAAGATTGCTCGAACAACCCTTCCTCCGAAGGTGTGGGCTCATCTTATGCCAAACCCGTCCACCGAGTTGAAGGTTCTGCACCTGTGCCAAAGCATCGAGTATCGGGTCACAAAAGGCCCATCACGATGACCAATTCCATCAACACTGACAACACCGCTGCAAAGGCCTTAAAATAGGCCAAGAAGAACGCCGCTCGACGAAGGAGAAGATCTTGATGACGAACACATCTCCGAGAATGCTGATCCTCAAATCAACACAAGTTTTGTGTTTGTGAGCCTAAGTGCGACCCCAAGCTCTGCGTTTCCGCTTTAGGACGTAAGCCTTGCGTCCATGAGCCTAAACATATGCTCTGTGTGAGTAAGAGTGAACACAACCCTCAGTAGCATGTTATTTAATCAAAACGCAACCCTCAAGGGTGCGTTTCGCAAACAGAATGCAACCCTCAAGGAAGCGTTTTCAAAACCGAATGCAACTCTCAGGAGTGCGTTCCCGAATCAAAACACAACTCTCAAGAGTGCGTTCAAAAACCAAAACGCAGATCTTAGGACTACGTTTCACCAGCAAAATGTAGATTTCAGGACTACATTTCATCAGCAAAATGTAGATCTCAGAACTGCGTTTCATCACCAAAACGCAGACTTCGGTCTTGCGTTAATCAAGCTAAACACGACCATCGTGTTCCTTCTTCAGAACGCAATGTGATTCGTCATGTTCAAAAAGATCAACATGGATTTAAAGTTCATGTTTGCTAAGAACCAGTCCCATCCACTGACGGACAGGGGGTTCCATCTCTACCGTCACACTCTGTGAGAGGTTCATCCCAAGTCTCTGACTTGTGGAATTTGCTGTCGAGAGAAATACCGATGCAAAGAGTCATTCATTCATGCCAATGTGAACAACTGAATTCTACGGTTCTCTCGGGATGTCAATGTTGCTCACATGCGGCCAATACATTTGGGTTTGACCAATTAACAAACGTTGCTTTGCCCAATCAACGACAACGTTCGTGCATGAAGAAGACTTCAGAAGGTAAATACCTTGGAGTTACTTCTGTTGGTCTTCTTATTTTGATGATGTTTAACAAACAATTTACCACTAATGTTGTTTGTCTAGTATCTGTGTTTTCCTATATATTGTAGACAAACAACGTTGTTGGAGGATGGATGGAATAGAGCTTTAACGATCATATTCATGTTAGCCCTTATGTTTTGATGATGTTTT